CTCCGCTTTCCTCCCGCTCGCCGTTAGGGAGGTTCTGCGCCTCAGCCGCTGCCTCCGTCGCCGCTCCCGCCCCCTCTTCTGCGTCTCCGCCTTCGCCACCGCTGGGGACGTCCGGGGGTCGCTTACCGGGCTGGCCTCACGCCACAGCCATCGCTTCAGCCTCCCTCCAGAGGCCGCCACAGGAAGAGGCTCGCCAGCCGCGGAGTCACCTGGGGCCTCAGTTCTAGCTCTCTTCCCGTCGCCGAGGGTCCTGGAGAAGCGGCCGCGGCCAGGGAACTGGGCGTCGCGGTTCCAACGGTAGGTGAACGGGCGGGTACCCGTTTATGCGCATGCGCGGGTCCCTGGTCGCCGCGGCCCTCCCCCCTCCGCCGCCCCCCAGCGCAGTGTCCCACCCACGCCGGACTCGAGGACGTTGCGCGTCTGGGTGCCGGGGATCCCAGGCAGTGCGGTGCAGTGCCGTGCAGTTGCCGCATTCGTAGAGGGGGGTCCCCTTTTTGCTTTAGCATAAGTGAAGCCGTGCGCCTGGCTGTCAGGGGGTGTGGCAGTCTTCGATTTTTCAGCCGCTGCAGTGCGCGTGAGCGGGTGTGCCTTCTCATCCTTGCTTCCCCAAAGTAGAAGGCACAGTAACCCACGCTTGTTTGCTAGCTTCCCCTGCATACCCGACCTGCGCCACCTCCTTGCCCATTTCCTTCACGCTGGGCAGTGAAGTTGATGCAGGGGGAAAAAAAAAGTGTGTGGTTTAATCTGGGCTCAACTGCGCCTCTTTTTAAGATCACGTGAGATGAGTGGTTGCTGACTTCCTTAAATCACTCGGAGAATATAGCCAAAATTGGGCTGTTGGTGCACTGGGGACCTGTCGAGAATGCACTCTGCATAGGGCAGGCTAGAGAGAGTACAGCGCTAAGTTTCAGGTGGGGCACCTGGTTTCCGAGACAAGGTAATAGGAAATTGAATCAGTTGGCACATTTGCCCGGTGGGAAGTTGGTAAACTTCAATTAAAAGTCAGTTAAAAATCAGTTTTAGAAAGGCATTTCGTTTGGCTCCCCATTATGCAGTCTGATTTAATCAATGAAAAAAGTACGTAAGTTTGGGCACTTACCTTATTTTCAAGTTGATAATCTAAAAATGGCAACCAGAACCGCAGACTTTGAACATTGAGTAAACTGAGCTGCACTTACTTTTAAAGTCGGACATTAAATGATAGTTTTGAATTACTGGCTTTCTGGGTTAATGTGAGGCTGTGTCTTCAACTTTCCTTTTTGTGACCTTGCATGCAATACTTGTTGGACTGGGTGTCTTTCAGTTACTGCACATTTAGTAAGTACCTTTTTGTTGAATGAAATTGAATGAATTGGTTATTGTATATCCATGGGGAACCCCTTCTTATTTTTCTTAATCTCTGCTGCTTTTAAAATTGGGGCAGTATTTTCTCCGATTTAATTGTGTCACCAGTTAGGGATCTGGGACACAGTTTAAATCCTTGGAAAGATGTAAAAAGGCTAATCAGTGTCGTGTGTGTGTTTTTTAAACTTCATGTATAATGTTTCATTTATTAATATGAGTGTATAGAATTCTGTTTTCTATACCTTTACAATTTTTATTTATTTTAAAAATTAATAGGCTAGTTTTAGAGAAATTTTAAGTTCACAAAAAATTGACCGGAAAGTGTAGTTTTTCCATATCTCTGCACCCCCCCCCCACAGTTTTCCCTATTCCTTATATCTTGTATTACTGTGAACAGTGTTTTTTTAAGAATGCCATCGTTTAGGACAGATGAAATGACTGAAATGAGTATATTATGCCTTGTCGGTTTTTCCTCACCAATAAAATGGCTCCCCTTTGTACACTGACTTTAATATTTGGAAATATAATGGAATAAATTGCTGTAGCTATACTTTGAAAACAATTGTGGTAAAAATACATAATACAAAATTTACCACTTTAACCATTTTTAAATGTTCAATTCAGTGGTATTAAGTACATTCACAGTGTTGTGCAACCATTATCACTATCTGTTTCCAGAACTTTTTCATCATTCCAAACAGAAACTCTGTAGACAATGATTTCCCATTCCCTCTTCCTCCTAGAGCCGGGTAACCTGTATTCTACTTTCTGTCTCTATAATTTGCCTATTCTAGTTACCTCATATAGGTGAAATCATATAGCATTTGTCCTTTTGTGTTTCTCATATTTTCATTTAGCATCATTTCAAGGTTCATGCATATTATAGTATGTTCCAGAATTTCTTTCCTTTTTAAGGTTGTATAATATACTCCATTATGTGTATATACAACATTTTGTTTACCCTTTCATCTGTTAATGGACATTTGGATTGTTTCTACCTTTTATCTTTTATGAATAATGCTGCTATGAATATTGGTGTACAAGTAAGTATCTGATTGAGTCCCCGCTTTCCGTTCTTTTGGGTATATACCTAGGAATGGAATTGCTGAATCATACGGTAATTCTATGTTTAAGTTTTTGAGGAAAGTCCAAACTGTTATCAGGGACTACTGCACCATTTTACATTCCCATTAGCAGTGTGTAAGCTTTCCAGTTCTCTACTTCCAGCAGTTGTTACTTGCCTTTGTTTGATAATAACCATTCTAGTGGGAGTATCTAGAACAGGTATCTCATCTGTGGTTTTGATTTGCATGTCCCTAAGAGTGATGTTGAACATCTTTTCATTTTGTGTATCTTCTTTGGAAAAATGTCTGTTTAAAAAGCCCTTTGCTCATTTTTTGAATTATTTTTTGTTTCTTTGTTGAGTTAACTTTTTTCAAAAAGTTACTTTAAAAGATTATTTTGTATATGAGTTAAATCTTTTATATGAAAACCTTAATAGTTCTCAAGATGAATAAAATACTGAAATTTAAAAAATAGAAAATTTCTGTTTTACAGATGGATAAACAGCAAAGAGACTGATTTTATATCTGAAAAAGTTTTCCCATTATTTAGTAAATCACACTGTATTTAGCTCTCTACTAGGTACATATTAGTACCAAGAACTTATTTTCGTCACCTCAGCATTACGAAGGTGCGTGCATTAAATGAAGGTCCAATCTTCACTGATGAGTAAGATTAATGCTCTTATCTTTCCTTTGTTTATAAAGGCTTCTGTTAACATGGCTAGGAGCAAACGGGAGGGGGTTACTGGATGGAGAAAAAGGAAGTGTAGTATGTATGCATGAACTTGACCTGAGTCGGTGTTCCCTAAGTGAGGGAGTAGGCTAATATGTGAGTAGACTCACTTTGGGGCCCTATAATAGAGCCAGCTTTGACTGGAAATGGAAATAATGAAGGATTTTTGAAATGGAATGTAATAAAGGCAGGTTTAATGCACCAGCTCATAATCACATGGTACACTAAATAGATATTAATAGTAATGGTATTAAGAGTAACTTATTATCAGATTGATTTATTCATTCACCAGATAATTATCTTTCTCTTTCTAAATGCCAGAGATATATGAAGGAGCAAAACCCAAGCAGTCACTTGATGATGTTACAAAACTCTGTAAAATTAATAGACATCTCTGAATTATACACTTGAGAAGAGTGAATTTTATTATATGTAAATTATACCTTAATAAAGCTGTTTTCTTTTTTTAATTAAAAACAACTCGTCAGTGAACTCTAGGGAACTTAAATTCTCATGGGAGAGAGTTTAAACAAACATAGAAAGCAGTACATAATAAAATTTACCATGAATATTTTAGAGCCAGGGAATAATATGCCCTAAGGAAAATTAACAGGGGACATCGTTAGATTGGATGGGTTGGAGAAGGTCCGCCCAAGAATGGGACCTTGAGTAAGAGCAGAAGATGAGTAGGAGGAAGTGAGGAAGAGTGTTTGAGATAAATGAACCAGTACGTATAAAAGTCTTAGACTGAAGAAGATGAAGTGGGTTGACAAGATAATTTAATGAAATTTGTTGGATTTCTACTAGAGAAGGAAATACCCCAAATCTTTTTGGTCAGGTTTTTGCCTAGCTCTAGTGTATGCTATCTTTTCTTTTGTATATGACATATAGCAATTCTTACCTCTTTGTTTTTAAACAGTTTTCAGAGGGATGTGTGTCTGGTTTCTATTTATTGCCCTTTTCTGGAATAGAAAAACTTATTTACTTAAAGTGTGTATTTTTGCTTTTGTAAATCAATCAATTTCCATATAATTGAAAAGGAAAAGTAAAAATAAAACCAGAAAACCCTAGGTGATTGATGTAGTAGGTGCTTAATATTTTGGGGGGAAGTTGGGGGTGGAGGTACATTTTGGCCTTAATTTTGAATAAACAATCACAGTGGATTAAAAATTTGGAAAGGTGAATGAACTCAAATTTAGGATCAGGTAAGATGAGAGTATTTTTAAAAGAAAAGCAGACCATATTGTGGTTGGTTGAGAATCTCTTTTGAAACTAATAATTTCAAAAGACATTTTTTTCTGTTAAGGAGTATTCTAGTATTTGAATAATGATTTTTGACTAGCAGGTACAGAGTATTTAAGTGTTTTATGAATTACCTTTATGAAGTATCACTTCATACATTTTAAGGAAATTTCAAATAATATTTTCAGTGTTGGCTGTTGTCATTATTGCCTGAAAGAGCATCAGCCTAAAAGGCAGCAGACTTCTAGTGAGTTCTTCTCACTAGTTTAGTGACCTACTCATTAGTTCAGTGACTTTTAAACCAGTTTCTTCAGTTTTCTGAATTTTTTTTTTTTTTTTGGTTACTCTTCTGAGAAAGGGAATGATAATCTGCCTTGCTTATCTCACAGTGGATGATTATGAGGATTCAGTTGGATAGTGAACTGGAAAATATACTAGAAATGTTAGCATCATTTCAGATATTGGAGTTCTGTTGTGTAGTGTTCAGAACCCAGGAAACAAAGATGAAGCATATTTTGCTCTCAGAGTTCACAATCTAGTGGAGAATTCAGATACAAAAAATAAGTATAGTCAGTACCTTTTTTGTTCAAGCGCCAGCTTCTGTTTTTTTCCCTCTCAGAGCAGTTTTTACACAAGTCTGTGCGAAAAGAGATATATTCTGATCTCAAGGGACCCATTTGGCTAGAACAAGTTGTGGAATTAGCCCCAATGCCCCTTACGTAAAAAAATGAAGTGTGTTGTAGTTCTGTATTAAAGAGCAACAAGAAATGATAAGCTGTCTTCTTAAGACCTTACTGTTTAGTAGGCCCTAGATGTGCATGTTTTCACTGGAGAAGAGGTGAAAGGTTATAGAATAGAGAAGTCTTGAAGAGTTGGCATTT